CTTTATTGTCTATTATAGATATATTGATCCTGTTTGTCTTTATATTTTCCATAATGGTGGTTGTAAACTTGAAGGACACAGAAAAAGTTGTGTGTGTTAAGTTTTTAAGGCATCAGCTTGTCTTATTAAAATTCCCTATCTAGAGCAAAGCAGCTGCCAAGACCGGGGGGATGAAGTACCAGTGGCAGATCATGCGAAGTCTGGGCATTGAGGACGAGGAAATCAAGAAGTTCACCGACGAAGATTACTGGTTGAACTACTTCCCGCCGCACTGCGTGGCAGATCTGAAGCGCGTGGGTCTCCACGTTGACTGGCGACGCTCCTTCATCACCACCGACCGCAACCCCTACTATGACTCCTTCGTGCGCTGGCAGTTCATCCGCTTGAAGGAGAGGGGGAAGGTCCAGTTTGGAAAGAGGTGAAGTCTCAATGTAGCGTTTATTGGCTTCTTTAGTATTCAAGATGCTAAAGTAGTAGCGGGGTTGAATTAGAGAGCCCAGTCCTATCCTAATTTCTCTACATGTGTGGTTTTGAACTACTATGCATACATGAATTGTGAAAGAGAAGTGCTGTAAGCAATTGTGGTAACAAAAATGCAGTTACAAAATATTTTTTGGTCTTTTTCTAGTCTTGATTTAATTTGTCAGGATTATAAGGATATTTTGTGTTGACAAAAGGATTTAGTAACATTGTTCCTTATCCTTATTGTCCAGACGTACGTCTTAAGTGGTTAAAGATAGAATATTTTCATGTTGAAGATAATATAATGGGTGAGTAACAATGATACCTAGTGTAACAGACACTAACTAATATAAAGATAAGATTTGACTTGATAATAGTTCTTTAGATAATAACTCCAAGTTTTGAAATGTTATGTGGAATTAAAATACTGATTTATCCTATTCCAGATACACAATATTCTCACCCAAGGATGGCCAGCCTTGCATGGACCACGACCGGTCAACGGGTGAAGGAGTTGGCCCTCAGGAGTACACCCTCATCAAGATGCAGGTCCAGGAGCTGAAGGGAAAGCTAGCGGCCCTTGCGTCTAAGAAGGTGTACTTAGTTGCTGCCACCCTCAGGCCGGAAACCATGTATGGTCAGACCAATTGTTGGCTCGGCCCAGATTTGACCTACGTAGCTGTAGAGACCAAAGACAAGGAGGTTCTGATATGTACGAGGCGGGCAGCTAGGAATATGGCTTTCCAGGGCATGTTGAGTGTGGAAAATGAAGTGAAAACCATTCTGGAGGTGAAGGGCCATGAGCTGATGGGAATCAAGCTTAGTGCTCCCCTCACCAGCTACAAAACCATCTACACCCTTCCTATGCTGACAGTGAAGGAGGAAAAGGGCACAGGGGTTGTTACGTCCGTGCCATCGGATGCTCCTGATGACTTCGCGGCTCTTATGGACTTGAAGAACAAACCGGCTCTGCGAGAGAAGTACAACATCACGGAAGAAATGGTAAACGTAGAACCGGTTCCAATCATTGACGTTCCCGAGTATGGAACACTAAGTGCACCATCCATCTGCCAAACAATGGGAATCAAGTCACAGAATGATCGTGACAAATTGGTAGAAGCCAAGGAAAAGGTGTATCTGCGTGGCTTTTATGAAGGCACCCTGTTGGTCGGGGACTTCAAAGGGAAGAAGGTACAAGATGTGAAGAAGAACATACAAGATATGTTGACTAAAAAGAAGGAGGCCATGATCTACCAAGAGCCAGAAAAGCAGATCATCTCTCGCTCGGGGGATGAGTGTGTCGTAGCGCTGTGTGACCAGTGGTACCTCGACTATGGTGAGCCCAAATGGCGTGCTGAGGCTCAGAAAAACCTTGATTCGATGGAAACTTATCACGATGAGGTGAGGCGCAATTTTGAAGCCACATTGGGTTGGCTGAAAGGCCATGCTTGTTCAAGGACATATGGACTGGGCACAAGGCTTCCCTGGGATGAGACGTGGCTGATTGAGTCTCTGTCGGACTCCACCATATACATGGCTTACTATACCGTTGCTCACATGCTTCATAAAGACCTGTATGGCAAGGCTGGCAACGACTACGGGATCAAGCCGGAGTACATGACACCTGAAATTTGGGATTACATATTCCACCAGACCTGCAAGCCTCCACAATCCCCAATCAAGAGAGAAGTTCTTGATAAAATGAGGCAGGAGTTTGGTTATTGGTATCCAGTAGACTTGAGAGTGTCAGGAAAGGATCTGGTGCCCAACCATCTGACTTACTACCTCTACAACCACACAGCGATGTGGCCAACGCAGCCCAACAACTGGCCCAAAGGAATCCGAGCTAATGGACATTTGCTACTCAATTCGGAGAAGATGTCAAAGTCGACTGGAAATTTCCTCACTTTGACTGATGCCCTTGACCGGTACGGCGCTGATGGAATGAGACTGGCTCTTGCGAATTCCGGAGATTCCATTGAAGATGCCAATTTCGAGACTCAGGTTGCAGATTCTGGAGTCCTCAGGCTTTGGACATTTGTAGAATTGTCAAAGGAACTTCTGGCTGAGAAGAGTACAATGCGCCTCGGTCCGTACACAGTTAACGATATCATGTTCACAGCTGAAATGAACTTGAAGATTAGAGAAACGGATGATTTCTACAAGAACATGATGTTCAAGGAAGCTCTGAGAACTGGATTCTTTGAGTACAGTAACTTCTTCCATCAGTACCGTGAGCGTGCGCAGGTTCAAACCGGGATGCACTGGGAACTAGTTAATCGCTATCTCACAACCCAAGTGCAACTCCTAGCCCCGATTTGCCCACACATCTGTGATCATGTTTGGATGAATATCCTTGGAAACGGTAAGTCTATCCTGCATGCTCAGTGGCCTTCTTCAGAGGAACCCAACCTCACACTTGTCAAGGCATCAGAGTACCTTGCTGATGCCTCACACAGGTTCCGTCTCCGCCTCAAATCCCACATGACTCCAGCAAAGGCCAAGAAGGGGGAGGCAGCTGCTGTTCCCGAGCAACCTTCCCATGGCACCATCTGGGTTGCAAAAACTTTCCCCAAGTGGCAGAGCATCATCTTGACAACAATGCATGGTCTTTACAAAGCTAATGGAGATAAGTTGCCTGATAACAAGGAAATATCAAAAGCTTTGGGAGCCAATGCCGAGCTTAAGAAGTACATGAAGAAGGCCATGCCCTTCGCACAGGCAGTCCGAGAAAGAATGAACACTATGGGAGAAAAGGCCTTGAAGGACACAGTGGAATTCAACGAGCGAGATATCCTGGAAGAAAATATTGACTTCCTGCGCGGTACCCTCGACCTCGAAGGACTCGAATTGCGCTGGACGGAAGAATGCGACAATGAACGCACCAAAGAAGAGGTAGTGCCAGGAGAGCCTTATTTAACCTTTTCGGTAGCCCCAAATGTTGCCATGTCTCTGGTCAATCCACAGCCTCATCTAGGACTCTTTAATTGCAAAGTTCCCATCTATGACAATGACACGCCAGCGTCCGTAGCCAGCCGGTTAAAACGAGTAGAGCGAGGAGTAAAACCTTCCATGAAGGTCATTTTCTACAGATACAAGGATCCACTTCTCGGTCCACGGATGCTTCCTTCTCAGGCGACCATCGCACAGATAACAGAGGAACTAAAAGAAAATGTGGTCTTCAGTCTCAAAGAAAACAGTGTCCATTTCACAAGTAATGGTACTTCTTCATTCTTAGGAGCAAGTGTTATGTATATGGTAGAGTAATATTATGTTAATGCTATCGTCTGTTATCCTTTAAAGAATAAACATCTGAATATTTTTGTCACATTACAGAGCAATTTACAAGAACTAAAGTGGAAGTTTGATAAATTGGGTTAGGTTGATAGAGTTTATATATATACTATGCTATTATGTTGTAAAAAGGTTAAATACTCTAATAAAGTAAATTTATGTGGATGCAGAGGGGGTTAACTTTTGAGAATTTATCATAATAGACTGCTGCTTTAATCAAATGAATTGAGAAATGAGAAAAATATTATTTACAAAGCTTTGCCTTTTTAATTGTAATTATTATGATGAATATTATGCAATATGATGTTTGGTTCTAATCATAACTTGAATCATAGGTGAACATTACCAGTTATTTATACTTGTATTTAGGTCTTATTTATAAATATTTTATATAATAAACAAAAATATATACCAAAAAATAATATGTCCTTAGGAAAATGAGTCCTATTAGGGAATTCTTGTTACAGTAACAGATACTTGATTATTTTTTACTTTAATAATGGACGATGACCTCAAAGCAATATACAAGTTGTTTAGATATTGTGCATTTGCATGTCGATGCAGATCAGTTGATATTATTGAGAGAAGTGGGATTTCATGTATTTATTTTTATTGGGAAATGAGTTTTTTGGTCAATATGTTTAATGTCTGTAATAATACAAACATTGAAATAATAAAAGTAAAGCACATTGATATTGGCTTTTCTGTTTACATAAATACTACTTCAACCAAATATGGCTTACATGATAATAATTTCACTGTGAACAGACTGAAGATGGTCCACTATTAACCGACTCCAGTAAAACAAAAATGTTATAATGTTAATTGTACAATCCAATGGTACTAGTGATTTTTTTTGAAGTTCACTTTCTCTATAAATCTTACTTGGCAGAGAATCAATTAAAGGTTTTCTCTAAATGTCTCAAATTATGTGTATTACAAAAATGCAAAGTTCAATTACTTCATGTAAAAACAATTATGAACAAAAGTACACACAAAAAATGTATATATATCCAGTGTGCACATGAAGTTCTGAAATCTGCCAAATTAAATAATCACAATAATAATAATGACAGGGGCTTTTCTGGTAATTCATTATGATCATGAAAATTAAAATGATCATCATAAAACTACATTTGATTATGATGAAATTCATGATAAAACCTATTTTGATGTATCTTGAGCTCTGAAGGTTATGAGTAAGAAGATGTATGCACTTTGAAAAAAGTAAATAATACACAATATTTATTAAAAGATTTTTCTTATCTGGACAAACAATGCAAGTTGACATGACAATCCTTTATGACAAATGACCCACAGTCTTTTAATAATGGCATTATATTACTTAAAATGTTCTTTTGGAACATTTACTACTTGCCAAAAAAATAAAGAACTATGATATAAAAAATACAAAAATGTATACTATACAAATATAAGTATAAGTGAGGTCGTGACATTCCAAGTGACACAGACTCGTCAAACAATAAAGCCTCTCTAAAGTCTCTCTTGTAAGTTTGGTCTGATTCAATATATTGTAATTTATCATTCCTTTTTTTTTTATTGTGGCTGTGTTCATGTCATCTTTATGTATATTTTTTTATAGTCAATACATATATATTTTTTTTAATGCTATCAAATGGCTGCAATAATAATATCAAAATGGAGCAGAAAATCATATCAAAATATTCTTTTATCTTGCAGCTTATAACAAGGGACATTCTCTGGACTGAAAAATAGGATACCTGAAGTGATTTCTTTTAAAACCTATTGGAAGACTTTCAGTAATAGGTAACACCTAATGAAAGAGACTGGGTATTTTCCATCAGTTCTATGGCCTGGAAGTAATTCTCAGATGAAGTCTTGCAAAATCTTGTGATTCCAAAAACGGCAAGCTGCTTCGCCCACTCTCGTTTATTATGCAATTCCAGTAAAGCCCTTTCAATCTGGCCTTGCATTTCATCTGCAAAACAAATATATCACTTTTAAATATTCTGCAACTTAATGTGTAATAAATGGAAATCTGCCCTTTTTTCTACAAATGCTCTTAAGAACTATGAGCAAAATTTACAAGAATAATGTCTTTATCAATATTCTTAAACTTTTTTTTTTTTTTACATAAAAGAAAAACCCTATGATTGGTACATCTGGCAAGCCATAATCAATGAACTAATTAAAGATCTTTCCTTAATTATCAACCCCCTTGATGTCCAGCACATTTACTTGTATTAACCATTAACCATTAATCCCTCCCATCGTTCAAGAACAGAGAGAGCATCCTCACCTGGCAGCTTTGTGTTAACCAGTATAGGATGAGGAGGCAGAGGTCCCCAAGACTCCTGAAGATGCAGCTCTGACTCCTGGTAATAAAAGCGGCTCAGGTAGTTGGTTAGGGCAATGGAATCCACGGCCGTTGCCTCAGCTTTCTTTGCTACTACCATCTCCAGCGAATTCATGTGGTTACCTGATGCTGTTCAGGGTAGAGAGGAAAACCGTCAAATTTATCCCTGAAGTATTACTGTGGAAATGGGAAAAGTCCACTTCTGGATTTCTTCAAACAGAATTTTAGAAAGACAGTTTGAAATAACTTATTATATACTCAAACCATTACAATAATAATGATCACTAAATGCTATTCATATTATTTAGAGTGACAAAATTTAGCACATCTTTTTAAACCTTACATTAATATAAAAACTTGTCTGTATATCACAATGAAGACAGAACAGGTACCCTGAATATCAGAAAAGAATGACGCATTTTCTCCCATCTGCTTCAGGGTAAGAAGAACTTGTCTGGCACTGCTGATAGAATTTTCACTCGCATATGCATACTTGCAACCTCGCAGATCTAGGAATTCCTTAACTCTATCTCTGCATGGAAATGGGACAATGGAGCAAAATGTACTTGAAAAGCATGGAAATGTGACGTGTAAAAAACAGGCCATATAAGAAGTAGCAGAAAGACACTAATGACAGAGTGCCATAATCTGTGTAACTTTGACTGTCATTAGTTTTTGCAGCATTCTGAAGCTTGTGATTTCTAAGGGAAAAGGGAACAAGATAACATACAAAAGGTAAAATATAGGTGACCATTCTGAGTCAACTCAACAGGGTGAGAGATAAGGAAGTGACTACTTTACAATTAAGTATTTTTTTAATAAGACCAATTTTTATTTAAAAAAAAAATATATATATATATATATATTTGATTTTGAAGTCAATAAATGAAACAAACTGTGGGAAGCAAAAAAGAAAAAAAAAAAGCAATCAGATGAGCACGGACAGCTGCAAAACTTGAAAGTCAATCAGTCACTAATCAGGTCTCAGGAAATGAACTGATTTCGTGCCATCACAAGGAACAAGAGCCATTAGCCAAAGCAGGTTCCAGTGTCTCTTGAAGGAAGAAATGGCAACAGTTTTGCTTGTTATTTTCACACCTTTCAGCAAATGAAACATTATCAACATACATATATATATACAAATATATATATATATTATATATGTATGTATGTATATATAAATATATATATATATATATATATATATATATATATATATATATATATATATATATATATATATATATATATATATATATATATATACATGTGTATATATATATATATATATATATATATATATATATATATATATATATATATATATATAGATAGATAGATAGATAGATAGATAGATAGATAGATAGATATGCATTTATATATTACAGAAAGAGAGAAAATGTCTTTTAGTTATAGCAAAACATTTTCACTTGAAATTTAATCAAAACTCTTGCCATCTGCTTCATATATAACCAAACCTACAAAAATAAAACAATACACAGCTTTGTATAGGCTGTAACAAAATAAAGACATGGCAAAAGAAGCAATATCAAAGGTGAAACGTGTTTAAAATGATATTAGTCTCAAACAATAAAGTTATAGAAAATACAACAGCTGTCTCCATAAAAATTCAAGTCACGTAAAGGGTTGATCACATTATGAATAATAAAAGCAACTATACGGCAACAAATTCAACGTTGCCAAATGAACTTACCTGACATCCCTATGAACAACGATGTCCGCGAAGTAACCGTGAACTTCTCCTTTCACAGGGTGTTTTGTTGCAGCACTTGCAGGGAGCAACTTGAACTTATTGGAAGACCGAAACTTATCAATGTATGTTGAAGTTCGTACAAATGCTGGAGCAAAAGATGTGGTCACAGTTAGAAAGAAAATTATGAAGAATTGATATAATGAACATGCTTGTAAATCTGACAGCAAATTAAAAAAAAACAAAAAAACATTCATTATCATTTCAAACCATTGGGAAAGAGAGAAGGAGAGGGAGAGGGAGAGGGAGAGGGAGAGGGAGAGGGAGAGGGAGAGGGAGAGAGAGAGAGAGAGAGAGAGAGAGAGAGAGAGAGAGAGAGAGAGAGAGAGAGAGAGAGAGAGAGAGAGAGAGAGAGAGAGAGAGAGAGAGAGAGAAATACAGACAGATACTGAACTGAAATATATATATATATATATATATATATATATATATATAGAGAGAGAGAGAGAGAGAGAGAGAGAGAGAGAGAGAGAGAGAGAGAGAGAGAGAGAGAAGAGAGAGAAATACAGACAGATACTGAACTGCATTTGTCTCTCTCTTTCTCTCTGGAGACAGAAAAAAGAGACATGGAGAGAGAAACCAAGACCAGGGGACCCTACCCATGTCAACCCTCTCGTCATCCCCTCGCTGGCTGTCTGGTCCTGGCCTCCGAGAGTCGTAGAGAAGCACTGTCCTCAGGTTGAGTTCCGTTTCTAGGTAGTCTGCCAGGAATTCATAATACTCCACCGGGAGGCTCGGGCACATGTATGTTGCCAAACAAAGAAGCCTGCGTTCAGTTGTCATGGTTGATCTGTTTGACTGGGGGGGAAAAAACGAGGCAGTTGGTGAAAATTATTCTTCTTACTACATATGAATGAATTTCCTTCAAAAAGATATTATAATCATTACATTATTTTCAATAATCTGTATATTTCTACTTTTACTACTTCCACTCAGCTAATGACTTTATTTTAATTTTACCCATGAATTAGATCTAAATTATAAAAGACTTAAGGAAAGGAAATTTACAAGCAAATTAATATTTATTTCTTAATTGTTATTCTAAGAATGTCTCCAATTAAAGATCTTATTAAATGATGTCAACACATTTACATAGAGACTGGCAAAGTAAGATAAAAATCAACATCATATCACTTTTTATATCATTATATTACATCACTTTTCTCTCGATAACAATAATTCTAAATCAGAATAGCAAGAACACCCAATAACAGTATCTTTAAAGAAGACCTTTAAATAACATTAATTTCAAATAACTACGACTGTGACTCTCAATAACAATAACATTAATCCTCAATAACAACAATGTCATCCTTCAATAACAATGCCATCAACCATCAATAGCAATAACATCACACAACAATAACATCAATCATCAATAAAAAAAACATCAATCACAATAATGTCAAACAACAACAATAACTATCAATAACATCCTATGTCAGCCAGTCAACCATCAATCACAATAACATCAACTTTCCCTCACAAAAATGTCAACCATCAATCACATCAATAACCATTAATAATGCCAATAACCATCAATCACATCGATAACCATTAATTACATCAATAACTATCAAAAACATTGATAATCACCAATAATGTCAATAACTATCAATCACATCAATAACCATTAATTACATCAATAAACATCATTCACATCAATAACCATCAATAATGCCAATATCCTTCTATCACATCAATAACCATCAATCACATTGATAACCATCAATAACGTCAATAACCATCAATCACAATAACACGAACCACCTTGATAACTATAAACATTAATAACCAAAAGCATTAATAACTTTAAAAAACCAACCAGCACTCGAGAACTTCACCAGAAAGGCACCATTGAACCCAGTGGAAGTGGCACCACCTCTTCTTGGCACCGCGAGAGCCTGGTGGGTGCCACTGAGTCTGGGATTAAATAAAGAAATTGGTGCCTACGGTTTTATCAATGGGTATTTATAGGGTATAAAGCGTGGGTTCTGAGATGCATATATTGTCTGGTTTCTTGGTTTTGAATTATATTGTTCTTGTTATTGAGTATTTTTCTTTTTTTTTCTTTTTTATATTACGGTCTCTCTGTGTATGTCATTCTGATTTTCCTCCCTTTAAATATTAAAGAA